TTATTCTTTGTTAACAATTATCTCATAAAATATAAGTTTACACTTTAAATAAATTTTAGTATCAACTTGGTAAAAGTTGGGCAGTGTTTGCCATAAAAACAATTTCATAAAACAATTCTCATTTGACATGTATTTCATTGAGAAGCAGTTCTAAGAATCGGTAAACAAATAGTTTATTCGAGTTTCGATTCATTAGTTTCGATAAAGAGTTCGACAAAAACCGATCGATCGATAGTTTGTCCGAAATGTACGACAAGTAGGCGTTCATTGAATTCAACGTGTATTTCACGTGCGAATCCAGAATACGGAGGGTTTGCTCCAAATAAGTGTCGTTTTGTACGTTCGGTTCAGTTTGTACTTCGTTTTGTACGTCAAAGGAGTCACCGCTTGGAATCGGTGGCCAAATGGATGAGTGCAGGGAATGGATGTGCTTCACAACCGCGTCTTTCGTCACAAATACTGCCAATAAATGGTTAATATATCTGAAAATTAAGACCAAAAAAATAAATTTTAAAATATTTAACTCAAGAATTGACTCACTTTTGGAGAATTGAGCCAAATATGGATTCCAAGAGCTCTGTAGGAATCAGACGTCGAATCGGATCCGATTTGTTTGACAACAAAAGTATGAGACAATTGATGGCATGACTAGAAGTAGTTGTCGTGAGTTCCGAGTTCTGGTCCACCATTTCAGTGATATTATCCGTCATCTCATTACAGACTTCTTGAGATTCATTGGTCGGGTCTTCGCAGCCGTCGCCTAGAGATCGCGGACCCAGATGTGAGCTAATACTGGATGTGCTCTCTTCGCATAACTCGTGGCCAACCGTCACGTCTCGTCTCGAGTCAAATGAGTCCACAAGTGTCTCATCTGTGGGCCAACACTCGCCCCAAATGTTGAGCTTCCGCTCCAATTGCATGCAGTGATTGGTCTCGACTTCTGTGCCGATCGACGAAATGGTTATCTTCTCGTTTTCGGCGACCATTCGTTCGCCGAAATTCGGATCAATTCGACCGATTTGTGGCTCCACTGGAAGCGCTGTCTTCATGATATTGATCGCCCCTTTGACTCCTTTATACAGAACTCTATCGATATTCAGCAGTGAATTGGATTTCGTGCCGACAAAAGCTATACTCCCATCGGTTCCGAAGGCCATGAACTGTTGGAATTCGAGGGAATCGACAATCGCTCTACGATTGCACAGCTGTCTCAAGAAGTTCTGCAGATATATGCGCCGGAACTCAATGGTCGACGGGTCGAGCCGTGTGTTCCCGGAGCCGGCGAACGCCAACAGATTCTGAGCCGTGATCTGTATGGACGACGGCTTCTTAATGCCCTTCATTTGGCGCCGGAATGTCTTGTTTCTGTCCAACAGCTTCTGTAATGTCATAAATTCGCTGAAACGCCGATAGACTGTAACCCTCTCGCGATAGCCGCAGATGTCTTCGTCGACGCAGTCGTCGCCACCGATCGGCGCCTCAATTGTCTGCTGGAAGAGGGCGTCGTATTCGATGACATACAGTGTGTATGAGTTGTGGTACGAGTTCTTCGTCTCCTCCGTTCTGGTGATCGCGAGATTCGCGATTAGCTTCTCGTCGTCGACGCCCTCATCCGCTTCCAGCGCTTCCACAACGCCTTCGAGCGTCTCGTCGTTGGACTCGTTTCCACTGAAATCGCTGCAGAATTCAGTGACTCTTAGATTATCTGTA